TTGCCAAGAGGCTATCAAAAAGTATGGAATCTCAGTTAATTGCAACTATGGTGGTCCCTGCCAGCAGCTGAGTCAAAAAGACAACCTAGAAGCAGTCAAATATTCCCTGAAGGAGGAGCCATGGGCTGGTGTGAGAAAAAAAGCAGCTAGTTCAGATTTGCAGTGTTTATGATGTTATAAGCATTTATATCACTCAGTCCATAAAAGTTCAAAAGTATTTGCTCTGTGATTAACAGCCATGTATGAATCTAGGCAAGGAAACGGAGTTTATTAGTGGAGCCATTCCCTCTAGCTACCAGGCAGGGGTGAAATCCAGCAGGTTCTGACAGGTTCTGGAGAACCGGTAGCGGAAATTTTGAGCAGTTCGGAAAACCGGCAAATACCACCTCTGGCTGGCCCCAGAGTGGGGTGGGAATGGAGATTTTGCAATATCCTTTCCCCAGGAGCGGTAAGAGAATGGGGATTTTGCAGTATCCTTCCCCTGGAGTGGGGAGGGAATGGAGATTTTGCAATATCCTTCCCCAGGAGCGGTAAGAGAATGGGGATTTTGCAGTAATCCTTCCCCTGGAGTGGGGAGGGAATGGAGATTTTGCAATATCCTTCCCCTGCCATGTCCACCAAGCCACACCACACCCACCAAGCCACACCCATAGAACCGGTAGTAAAACAATTTGTATATCACCACTGCTACCAGGGGATTAGTTCTGCCTGACTTTGTTTTTCTTATGCACCCACTAATAAGGATTTTCAGTGTTTTTCTTTCTCCTATTTTTTTTTCACCTGCCACAAAATTTGGGTTTTGCTATAAGGTAGAATCAAATGGATTACTCCTCTCCCCTCACTTTTTTAAAGAGGAAGATCAGTTCTCTGTTTTTTCAGTCTAGTCCAGTCCTACTGACCTTGCAGATTTCAATATCAAAATCTATCAAAATTTTCTGCGCCTCCTGCTCTTCTATTTTCAGCTTTTTGTAGCATCTTCTCTAATGAAAAGAGGAGCACCCATTCATTTTGACTTTGGGTCTAATAAAGTTTTAAGACCTAAAATAGAATGTGAATATATTTTAACCATGGTTGGATGATGGTTCATATTTATTTATATACTACTATTTAATTGCTAATCAAGAAACTGCCTGAGCTTGCTATAATTTATGTTTGCTTTCTAATTATGAATTGACAAATTATTTCAGTTGTTCAAGGACAGATTATTGTTTCTTTAAAGGCAGTTCATCATATTCTGCCAACCTCCTGATACTAAGTTCTATACCTTACTAAGAATCTATTAGAGGAATAGTAGTACTGTCCATTGGAATGTGATCAGTGGTGGGTTTTAAAATTTTTTACTACCAGTTCTGTGGATGTGGCTTGGTGGTGTGGCATGGCTTGGTGGGTGTGGGCGTGGCTTGGTGGCAGGGGAAGGATACTGTAAAACCTCCATTCCCTCCCCACTTCAGGGGAAGGTTACTGCAAAATCCGCATTTCCTCCCGATCAGCTGGGACTCGGGAGGAAGAGAATACATGGGGGCAGGGCCAGTCAGAATTTTTACTACCGGTTCTCCGAACTACTCAAAATTTCCGCTACCGGTTCTCCAGAACTGATCAGAACCTGCTGAAACTCACCTCTGGATGTGATCTATATTTTTTAATCCTCACCTCCATCTGGGAGGTGGATGGGCCTGGAAAATAATGGCAGTCAGCCAAGAACTAGTAGAGGCAGTGTGGTGTAGGGGCTAATGAGTTGGATTGGCACAAGGGTGATTTGAGTTCTGATCCACTCTTAACCATGTAGCTCCCTGGATGACTTTTGGGCCAGTCACTCTCATTTGTTCCATGTGCCTCACAGGATGGTGGAAAAGGGGGGAAATTGGGGCAGTGTCCTGTGTATACCACTTTGAGCAATCAACTCAAGGCATATAGCTGGTTGTTGATGTGAATACTGTCCAGAATGAACAGTAATTTAAACTTGGATGAGTTTTTGTGTGAAAGCTGCTGATCAATGCAAAAGCCCTCCAGGAGTTCCAGAACGAAGCATCCAAAGAAGGTCTTGCTGCCTAAATGAACCACTAGTGGCAAAAACAAGTCCTCCTTTTTCATTTGCAAGCCTAAGAATGAGTTACATTGCGTGGACAGCATTCCGGAAAGTGGCTGCAGAGAAAATCTAAGGATACTCCTGTCTCAAGGACAGTCTCCAAAAGTTTCCTCTTTTGGTGCTGTAAATATCCACCTACCTTGAGAGAAGGCTCAAACAACGTGACATCTCTGGCCAGAAAAAACACTGTCTTTGTGTCAATTCCTAAGTAAATTGGGGTGGGGGTGGGGCAACATTAGTCTACGTGGCAAGACTGCAGCATCAAAGGCAGCAGCAACTAATGGGGATAGGAAGCCAAGGCTACAAATCTAGGAAAGCAGATACAGTTCTGTTTTGCAGATGGAGTTTCTGGAAGTCCACTGAAATTCTTATTTTGAGAAAAACATTACTAGTTCCCTATTAAATATAGTGAGGAGATAGAGCACTGTCAAATATCCAGAATGGACATCTGGAGCAGATCCTCCTAATCTCTTGAAGCAGAACAAAAGCACTGACCTGACATTATTTACTGTAAGATTTCCATTAATTGCTGTAGATTAATCCCCACTGTGATTGATCAGGATGTGTTAAACCCTTTAAAAAGAGCATAAATTCCAAGGAATAGAGAGGGCCAAGAACTTTGATTGGTTGTAACCTGACAGGCAGCATCAATTCAAGGACAGCCTTTCCTTTAATGGTTGATTTCCATCTGGAGATTACAGTGACAGTAATCATCATACAATGGTTTTCTCAGTGTTTTGGTTATTACTAACATCTACGTTGGGAGTTAGTTTGATGTAGTGGTTAAGGCAGCTAGAAACCAAGAGATCATTAATTTTACTCTTACCTTCGGCACAAAGCCTGCCATGTAACCTTGGGCCAGTCACTTTCTCTCGGTCCTAAGGAGGAGGCAATGGCAAAACACTTCTGAAAACTCTTGCTAAGAAAACTGCAGGAACAATTGAATGGAAGAAAAAATAACAACATTGGGGGACACATTTAAAATAAACTCATTGATCATGGCATCACTTTGATTTCCTGGTAGTGCTGCTGTATGTATACTTAGAGAAAATGGGAAAGAATGCTTCCGATATTTGTGGGTATGCCGCAACAATATAAAGTGCAAGGACTGGTTGTAATGGTCGCTAAATGAATGGCTATAGGTTGAAGATTACTTGTAGTATATTTCCTTTGTGGGGTTTTTACTTATATTCCCCTTGTGACTCATGAGTCCCAATCAGAATTAAGTGTGATTACAATCCAGCAAACTGCTTTTGTCAGCTGACAGGGATTCCCTGACTAATATTGCAAGGACCTTTGTAGTGGTAGTTGCAGATTTTTTTCTGTTTAGCAAAAACCAACAACAACAAGGGGAAATTGTTGGCACATGTGCTAGATGGAAGAAAGTTAGAAGCCATAGTTTTTTACATAGACAATGTGCTAAACCTACCACAAAATAGTATACCTAATGAAATTTCTTTTAGGTGGTTACTTTCTACTTTGGAACAGGTACAGATAGTCCTTGATTTATGACCACAATTGAGCCCAAAATTTATGTTGCTAAATGAAACACTCGTTAAGTGAATTTTAGCCCATTTTATGACTTTTCTTGACACAGTTGTTAAGTGAATTACTGCAGTTATTAAGTTAGTAATATGGTTGTTAAATGAATCTGGCTTCAACCATTGACTTTGGTTGTAAGAAGGTCGCAAAAGGGGATCATATGATCCCAAGATGCTGTCTTAAATATGAGTCAGTTGCCTAGCATTTGAATGTTGATCATGTGACCATGGAGATGCTGCAATGATTGTAAGTGTGAAAAATGGTCCTAAGTCACTTTTTCAGTGCCCTTGTAACTCTGAAATGTCACTAAATGAATTGTTGTAAGTCAAGGACTACGTCTACTTCAAGACAGAATAGTGTTTTGCAACCACGGAACCTGAAAATGTTAATTTTGTGGAAAATTGCAGGAAAAGGTAGGGACAAGCAAATGTCAAAGATTGCTCATACAATCTCCTACCTTGCATTGTGTAACTATTAATTCATTCTATAAATTCATGTGATCATATTTATTCTATGAATATTTATCATAGGACATAGACAAACTAAATATAACTCTCACTTATTACATATTCAGTATTTTATTTCTTAATAAAGAAATGTGTTTGAAATCAAAGAGGAATTCTAAAAAATCATGAGTGTTCAAAAACTTTATTTTTGAATTACAATTTTTGGATAAGCAGTTTATAAAGAGAAAATAAACAGAAATTTATCTGGCACTTTTGCATAGATTATAACAACTCTGCCTGACATTTCTAGACACATTCAGTCCACTTGCTTGGTCCAAAATCCATGTTATTTGAAACTATATACATCATATATACAAATCAGTGAAACTATTTTGATTTTTCAAAAATGTTGTATAATCTACTCTTACTAAGTAGAATCCACAGTACACACCAAAATTAGCAAATATACTGTTTTGAAGTAAAAAAAAATCATTCAGGAGAGACATTTGATAGCATGCAAATTAAAGAACAGATATGGTGTCAGAATTTTTTTTTCTGTTAAAAAGTCTGATTATTCAAGGTGCTTGCAAAAGAAGAAACTTCATTGTTCCTGTAAAATAGGCACTTAGGATGGAAACTGAAGGACTCAAAGTTGACTTTAAAAATTGGTTTGGTTTCACAAAAGTCTTTTCAGATACCAAAAAAAGCTTGTTAAGTTTCATGTAAAAAAAAAGTGGTTAGTTAGATTATAGTAAAGGTAGACAACATTTTGGAACTACCTTGTAAATAAGTAAGGTAAAGGTAAAGGTTCCCCTCGCACATATGTGCTAGCCGTTCCCGACTAATGTAAATAATGTAAATAAGTACATTACATTAAAGCAAAAATAAAAATTACTAAAAAGCAATTATGCAAAGCTACCCTTTAAAATAATAATATCTGTAGATGTCAAGTGTTGAACTCTATTTAACATCATTATGATACATTTGATTTAAGAAATAAGAAATAATAATAATAAAGTTTCATACAGATCCCATTTCAGGAAAATCTGAGGTTATAATCTGCCATTCCACATGTCAAAATATCCAAATGTCCTTGATGGATAATATCAAATATATGGAATTCAAAGTCACATTTTCATACAGACTTTGCAAAACAACTAGGTTAGTTTGCCCAAAAATTATCTTGAATATCTTGACTATCTTTTTAGTTGCAACTCACCCAAAAGATTACTTCATCTTTTTTTCTTCTGTTAATAAAAAAAAAAAAAAAAAGGAAATTATATATTCTCTTGGCAAAAATATCTAGCATACTTCAGGTTACTTCAGATTGAATGCCAAGACTGGTCTTTCTTCTAGCTTTTGCCAAGGAGTCTTTTTATCCTCCCTTTGATGATTAGCATCATCAATGTCACTACCATTACGTTCTGCACTTGGTAAAGGCTTTGGTAGACTTTCTATACCTCTCTTTGTTTCTTCCTGCAGGCTGGGCAATTGGCCACCTCTTCTGCTTCTCCCTCCCTCCAACACACATCTTGGAGTATTATTTTCAGGGCCACAAACTGCAGTTCCACATTCGCTGCCACTTTGGCCCACTTCATCCAAATCTTTCTGCTGAAAAATCTGCACTTGCTGTTTTCGCTCATTCATGTCATCTCCAGAATCCAGGCTGCTGTTGTTAATTCCATTGCTTTCAGTTGTTTGAAAATCAATGTAGGAATGTCTAACAATAACATTGGAATCCCCATCCAAAGAAACAAACCACGATCGAGGATGAGGTAAAGGCTTTCTTCTAGCTACCTCTGTTAGAGCTTTCTTAGTAAGAAGCTCATCACTGAGGGATGATGGAATAGATACTGATTCAGACATCACAACGTGCTGTGGTTTCCAGTCACCTGTTCCAGCTTCTTGCTGGGATATTGCTTGAGCAGCCAAGTGTTGTGGCTGCATCTGTTGTTGGGAATGTGGGCTAGATAATTCAACTTGGGACCTTGCTTGCTCTTGCTTCTCAAATAAAGACTGGCTTAACATTGGACTGTGTTTATAATCTTCTTTGTCTGGAGATCCATACCCTTCTGTCTTTTCTACAGACTTCCTTCCATTTATAAAAGATATTGCCATATTCTCTAAAGACGTGAAGCTTTTGTCATTTTCCTTATCAAAAAGCAATTCCTCTCTGGGATTAAATTCCTGTGAGGTGCTATGTTGGAGCACAGGGGTATGCAGATCTTCTTGTTCTACAGAACATCCTTTGTTCACATGAACATCCACTATCACTACTTCCTCGTGGCCAGAGGATTCTGGGCACCTATTGCCATAGGACAATTCTGATTCAGATCGGGAAACTACTAAACTGAGATTGGACGTAGAAGTTGATTGATCCATCTTAGCACCTCTGAGTGTTGAGGATAACTGTAGTTTTTTAAATAATTGACGGGGCTTCATACACTTTTTCCTAATATTAAAAAAAGGAATAGAAAAAGAATTCAAAAGTAAAAGAATGGTCTCTAGTGAATACTTAGGTATTCAAACACCTATACTCTCTTCCGATTATCATAAACCTATAATCTCTTCCAATTATCATAAACCTGGCTGCTCAAGATAGATGGGTGGAAGTTATGCGAATTCTGGTCCACTGTAAGTGGAGAATGCTGAGGTAAAGAAAGCTATTGCAAGAGGCTCAAGCAAATTAACACCTCCTGATTTTATTTTGCAACTCAAACTGAATATTCTGTGGCTTGATCCTCCATGGAAATTCTTTTTGCCACCCATTCTATTTTTATTTTTTATTTTTGGCTTTTTCAACACTGGTTTTTCAAGCATACCAACATCTCCTTATTTTTCTGTTTACCTACAAAAACTTGGTGTGTTACATTAGATATTTCGATTGTAGATATCAATACTGAAACTCATGAAATGAAAAAAGAGATACTGTAATAAAAAACAACACAGTAGAAGCAGATATAACAGAAGAAAGTCAGCCTTATAATTCTTTCTGTTAAAATCATTTGTAGCAGGTAATGTATTTAATAGGACTTCAACAATAAGGTAGTTTTACTGAAAGAAATTTAAGAAAGAAAGAAATTTTTTTACTATTCTTGATTTAACTGTTCTGTTTCAGCAAACGTCAGAGAGATTACATATACTGTGCTAAAATGAGAGAAATTTTACTTTTCTTCAGTTTTATAAGTGCTGCAGTTTCATAAACTATTGTTGATACCTTCAAGTTTGAAATTAGATTACTCTATAATGCGGCTTGTTCCATAAGCAAATAGAAAAATTAACATGAGTTGTATCACCGATCCTAATTTTGTTTGTTTTCTGTTACTAACATTTGTAATATCACATTTTTCAAAAGATATTTAGGATAAGACCATCAATTCTGGAAATACTGAATATGATAATATTCAATATATTATATGCTATATAATATACAGTATAATATGATAAATTGTTAAAATAAACTTAAGTCCACATAAAGAATTTTCCTACATCTGGTGTCATAGCGATGTATTAGACCAGCAATCCAACATATTTCAATGGCACAAGTTTGTGGGCAGCTCACATAAAATCTTCAGGGAGCCTGTTTACACTAGCAAGTAGAATCCAAAGATATTCATTCAGTTATGCAAATTATGAATTCATGGAAGGCTTGCTAAAATGTACTTATGCAAAAGAAAGATCAGATAGAAAATAATTTGGTCTCTTTTCCTTCCATTTATATCTTTTATGACGACCACTCTACAAATATAACTAACTATAAAAATGAGACATTTTACCTGCAATAGTGTACAAGGAAGCACATCAGAACAAGTAGTACAAAAACTACCCCTCCAACGATTTCCAAAAGAAACATCTTCTGGTCAATATTGCTGTTCTTCATTACAATATGATCTATAAGATTGGAGGGGGAGATTAAAATTCTGAGGACAGGCAAATCAAAGTTTTCTAACCCATTTTAGGGTATATTTAGTTGCAGGCTAGCTCTCACTTTGACAACAACCCCTTCCAGCAGAGTATCATCTGATGTGCCTTGATCCACTTCTAGCAGTATTCTCTAATGGGATCAAGCAGGAGCCCTGATTACACAGGTTTCCAGATCTGGGGGATGCCACTGATTTGAATTACTCATAATATCCCAGGACAGGCCTATGCGAAGGACATTGTAAATAAATAAAGTCCAGCGATACATATTCTTTGGTTAGTGGAACCAACCAAAACAATGGGCCTGTGTTATTATCTGGACTGGAACCTGGAGCAGCAGCATCTATCTGGAGATGACATGCCTAAAAAATAAGTGATGCAATGGGGCAACAGTCAGCCAATGGGCTTCGTAACCCTCCTGTGTAGACTGTTTATCTGGAATCTCACTGAGCATGGCTGGTAATTTTCTCCGCCTCCAATTGTCAGAAACTGCACAAAATTCATTCAGGAAACTTATAGCATTTAACTGACAGTTTCTTCTATATAGCCAGCTGTATAAAGTAGTGAAATAGGAAGCATTTTTCCAGCCTATGCAATTGTGCATGGGCTGGGAAGATAGCAATGTCCTCTGTGTATGCAAGCAAGAGATTCTATCTAATTAGCACATTAAAGAAATGATAGGTTCCTTCATTTGAGTCATTCTCTAACTAGGATTTATTTATTTTTTACTTGAGTAGAGCCATTAAAACTGTAATCTGGGTCAATCACTGGAGGTCTGACCTGAGATATAATCCATTTCCAACTTTACAAATTGTACTCTATTCCTAGCTCATTCAGTCTATGTGTAAATCAAGGCTACAGCTGATAATATATCAGAGCTGATAACTATTTCTTGTTGTACAATTCTTACAGTTAAGGGGGAACTCATTCTATTTACGGCAGGAAAGGTATAAATCCTGCACGTGCTATGATTTTCTGAAATCACCACATTCTACATATTGTAACAATGATCTAATTGGGGATTATCCTACAACTGTTTGGAAGTTGTCCCGGTAGCTTTACAGACATCCAAAATGCAACCATTAGTGACTTAAATGGCTGCAGCGTATTTAGCCTCTTTAAGCCTCTTTAAATACTCTTTAAAACTCTTCTTTGTAAAAAAATATCTATTGAAATACTTGGAAAACCTTAACAAACTTTAAAGTCTGCTTTCAGAATTCCTGGATATATCAATAAAATGTTATTCTGAAATGCATACATTATTTAAATATAGTACTGCATAATATAAAACTTACTGTGTGTGGACTAATGTCAAGTTTTAAAATGGATCCTTCCCTTCTCACCACCCTTCTCACCTCCTGAAAAGCTCTAGCAAAAAGTATTTTCTGCTTTGCTCCTGCTCTGGAATATGGAGCGAGTCTCCATCCACCCTTACCTTCTCAGGCAAGGAGTGACTGTGGGGGGTGGGGGGAGGGGAGGGGCCAACCAATTCTGGGATCCAGTTCGGCAGGGAACCACATCAAGGGGCCCAAAGAGCCCCATGCGTCTCCAGAACAGTGGGTTGCAGACACCTGAGCTAGAGGTTAAAATGTGGAACAGATGAAATCTATTTATTTATTTAGAAAATTTATTTATTCATTTATATTGTCACCTACTTGCACATGGTGACTCAAGGCAGCTTACCAGGGCATAAAAACACAATATAAAAGAAATAAAAATAATAAAAAAGAAAAATAATTCCCCTATGCCCCATACATTGTGTGACAACACACATTCATACCAGCAATTTAATGGGCTCCATCCTGCTCTGGGTTCTCCAGGCCCACTGGCAGAACCAAGACTTCAGGGCCTTCCAAAAGAGTGTTAGAGTGGGGGCGAGTCTAATCTCCAGAGAGAGGGAGCCACCACAGAGAAGGCCCTTCTGGATCCTGTCAGATGTATCTCCTTAAGGGACGGGAGCCAAAACATTCCTTGCCTCCTCGCTCTAGTAGTGGGTCAGGTAGATGTGATCGGCAAGAGACGGTCCCTTAGATAACCTGGATCCAAGCCATGAAGGGCTTTAAAGGTGACAACCAGAATTGCACTCAGAAGTAAATCGGCAACCAATGTACTTCCCACAGAAGAGGTGATACATGTGCACAAGTCTCCACAAAACTATGCGGACTGCTGCATTTTGAACCAACTGGAGCTTTCAGATGCTTTTCAGGGGCAGCCCCATCTAGAACAAGTTACAATAGTCAAGACTGGAGGTGACTAGGGAATGAGTGACCATGAATAGGGATTGTTGGTCCAGGAAAGGGTGTAACTGGCACACAACCTACAGTTGCGCAAAGGCCCTCCTGGCCATGACTGCCACCTGCTCTTCAAGCAGAAGTTGTGAGTCCAGGAAAAACCCCAGATTGCGCATAGGTCTGTTTGAGGCAGAGCCACCCCATCCAAGATTGAAGGTGGCAATTCCCCATGCGCCAAAGATCCCTAAACCCAGAACCACTTGGTCTTGCCAGGGTTCAGTTTCAACCTATTGCTCCCCATCCAGCCCCAGCAGCCTCCAGGCACTGTGAGAGAGGTGTCACAGCATCGCTTAACCCGCCACGGGCTGAAATATATAGCTGAGTATCATCAGCATATGGATGATATCTCAGTCCATGGTGACAGATGATCTCACCCAAGAGCTTCATGTAGATGTTGAATAGGAGCCAAGAGAGTACCAAGCCCTGAAAAACCCCACAAAGGAGTAGGCTGGATCTCTCACCTCTTATTAACACTGACTGAGAGCAGCCACAGAGGAAGGAAGTGAACCAGGATAGCACAGAGCCCCTCACTCCCAACCCCTGAAGCCATTCCAAAGGATACCATGATCGATGATATCAAAAGCTGCTGAGAGGTCAAGTAAAGCAAGGATGGATGCCCTACCCCCTTCCCGCTCCCACCAGGGATCACCAAAAAGAGTGACCAATGCTGTTTCTGTCCCATATACAAGTCTGAATCCTGTCTGGTAGAGGTCTAGATAATCTGTTTCATCCAGAAACCTCTGGAGCTGCAGCACAACCATATTCTCAACCACCTTCCCCAAAAAGGGAAAATTGGAGATAGGTCGGAAATTATCCAACAGGGTGGAATCCAGCGATGGCTTCTTGAGAAGAGGGCAGACCACAACCTCCTTAAAGTGCTTGGGGACTAACTCTCCTGTAGGGAAGCATTAATCACCGCCAGAGTCCATCTGTCTATCATCTCTCAGGAAGCTTTCACAAGCCAGCAGGGAAATGGTCTAAAACACAGGTGCTTGCCTACATATTCCCTAGGATCCTATCCATTTCCTCAGGAGCAATAGGGTCAAATTGTTCCCAGATAACAGGGCAAAAATCTGCCTCACGGGCCTCCACTGCATCAGCAACCACGGCAGCATTTAACTGGGAATGGAGTCGAATGATTTTTGTCTTCCAGAAAATCTGCAAATTCCTCAGTGCCCCGCCCCCCCTTTCAGGTGGACCTCAGTCTCCTTCTTCCCCAGGAGGAGACAGTTCACCTTAAAAAGGGTCACTGGTTGATTATCTACAGATGCAATTAGTGCGGAGAAGTATTTACACTTCGCTGCACGAATCACCCCAAGGTAGGCCTTAATAGTAGCTCCTACCCATGTTTGATCGAGTTCATCCCTTGTCTTCTGCCAGAGGTGCTCTAGATGTCTCTTCATTCATTTCATCCCTCTCAGTTCCTCTGTATATCATGAAGGGCAAAGAGCTGTTCAAGTGAGGAGAGGTCACATGGGCACAATCTTATCCAGAGCCTCAATCACCTTCCTATTCCAAACAGCGACTAAGAACTCAGTTGGACTGTGCAGCAGATCTGCAGTTATAACGCCTGGTTCCTTCTGGAATCCATCTGGGTCCAGTAGTCAACGGGGGCAGGAAAATATAATAGGTCCTACCTCCCTGTGGGGGTGGCAGTGGTAAAGTTCTTAAGAAATTCTATAGTGAAACTTCTTTGTACTTGCCCAATGCCATATATTTATACTGGAGCAATTAAGAGATCAGTCTTACCTGAATTTGTGGGTGACATGGCTGCAACCCAATATCCCAGCTGGGAGGCAATATAGATCTAGGTCAATCTATTTCCTTTTTGTTCAATGATGCCTAAACTGCTTTTCAACCATGTCCCTGTAAACATATAAAGAATCTCGTAAAATAAAATGGAAGAGAATTAGAAATGAAGCTGTTTAACTGTTATAGAATAAATTGATAATGAATTTCAGATGCAGAAACTCAGTGATAGTTATAGCCATCGCCTATGAATTAAATGCTAGTAATTTTATTTACTGACCACCAGTGGGTGCTACAGTGAAGAATTTGAAACAAGGGGAAAAGAAAAAGGCATCTTGGATGCCTTTAATTTTTTTTGCTTTGGAATCAAAAAGTTTTATTTTACAGATGTTTCATTTCTTGAAACATCAACCTCACAAAGCATTTTGATCTTATACAGCTATTCTCTTGGATGTACAATATCAAGAAGGTAGCATTATCCATTCTTTCCATCTCCTGGCTTCCATTAATAAGTCAGCCCAATGATATCTATATAGTTCCTTGAGTTTCCTCCTGTTAAAATCTATGATGATATATATATATATATATATATATTATTGCTATGCTTATTTTAAAATATGTCAGAAAATGAATCTAAATATATGAAGAGAACAAATGGAGGAGAGGACAATTCATTGATGTACTTAAGTAATAAAACACTGTATATCTCCACCAGATAGTTTTGTTTGAACAAACATATTGCCAGGTGGCTTAGTAGCAAAATGTTGATTGAGAACCAATCAATTAAAGTTTCAGACAATGGAACTTCAGCTCCACAGGATTTTACCCAGAACAACTGAATGGATGATAATTTGGCTTCAAAATGAGATAAGAGGCCATCCTGTTTCCATGTTGTCGTTCAAATGTACACTATCAATAGTAAAATACTTTGCTTAAAAAGTGATGTAATGGTTTGCCAGATTGGTTTGGGGACTGAATCAAGAGGCAACATCCTGCAAAGGAAACTCCTTGCTCTCCCTAAGGAGGAAATGCCATTCTTATTTCAAAAAGAGGTGTACTGGTAACACAGGTCTGACTTGAATAACTGAGAAGAAGAGGAGCTAGATGCTGCAGGAGATCCGTGTGTGCTAAAAAATATGAATATTTCAGATCTCGTTGTGTCCCTTATTATAAATCAGCAGAGAAGTAGCTCACTTACAATGACCTCCCTAGAGAGACCATACAAACAGCTAACACACTTAGGGAAGATATGCAGATACCAAAAATAACTTGGGCATGAGACTACCGAAGGAATTATCAAAGAAGTTCTGTTGCTTCTGCTACATATTTTTGGAATTAAGAATTGGGCTTCCTATTTTCCCAAAATAGTAAGGAAGACCTCCCAAGGATATGCTCATAATTGCCAGAAAATTTTTCAGCAAAACTAAAGAAAAAGCAGTTGGTGAAAAATGTGGAGAACAACAACATAGGAAAAGATAAAGCCTCTCTATGAAGAACAGATTGTTCCTTTAAAAAAATATTTTATTTTGATTTTAAGAGCACAAGTATTACAAAGAACACCTAGATGCACAGGATAGAACTTAGCTAAAATTTAGCAACACCTCTATTTTGACAAAATAAAATTCCTTCACTGATTGTAAGTTATGCCACATTGAGTTAGAAGACAAAAGCAGATAAGCCTGTCTTCTTTCATTACTGCAATGTGAGAGGAGGCATGAATTTATCTAAAATCCCTTTTCTTCGGTGGCTCAGATCCCACTGCATTTGCAGGCTTCCTCAACCTAATGTCTTCCACATGTGTTGGATCTGCATCTCCCAGAATTCCCAGCCACCTGAAGAATGCCAGTGGGTCAGTGATAATTCCAGCCCCTACACATCTGGGGGACATCAGCTGCTCCTGTAATTTAGGAGAGAGGCTTTGTCACTATTAGCAGAGCAAGGAGCTGACTGGCAGAGGCATACCCTGAAGACTGCAAGCAGTGTGAGAGAACAAAATTGTGTCTGAACAGAACTTACACTGCACTTTATAAATCAGATAGAAAGAAGGATATTGCCTCATTATCAATGCCTATCTAAGAGAATTAAAAACATATGTTAAAAAGTTAAAAGAGCTGGAGTGCCCTCAAACCAACCACCCCCAGAGTTGTTATCACTCTTAGACCCTCACTCATTGAATCAGGTCTTCAAAAGAGGAGGGGGCACCTCACCTTTGAGAATCCCAAAGGGCAGGGGCAACAGCAGAGAAGGCTCTCTTCCTGGGTCCTGCCAATCAAAATTTTAATGGATGAGATCCACAAATATCCTCCCTGCCTGCTCAGGTGGGATGGGTCAATGTAATGCACAGTTAAGTATATATATTGGGGATTATATTGATCCAGTCATAGGTTTTCCAAGACTTAGGCATATCTGTGCTGATATAGACAATACTTCTGTTGAAACAAAGCAATGTGTCTATGCATACACACACACATACATTTGGAAATGGAATGGAAGGGCAAATGCACCAACTGTTCCAGAGGATGCAGTTGCTCTAGTGTTTTGATATGAACTTCCACTTTGTCTTATGAAGAATACTACAGTCAACTTTCTTTGGACACTGAAGTGATTAATTTATCCAGAATGAAAAACTATATTTTCTTTCTATCTAGTTGAAAAAAATAATGTTGAGATGGTTCTTGAACTACAAGACTCAGTATTCTTAGGTAACATGGCCAGTGGTCAAGAATGCTGGAAGTTGTTGCAGTTCCACAATATCTGGGAGACAAAAAATTGCCTGTACCTGCTATAGAGGTTTGCTGACGAACATTTCATTTTTTCCATCAACCTCTCTGTCAAAGTATCTGACAAAGCTCATTTTTACTAGTGTGCTTTGCTGATTTATGATGGGAACTATAGTCCAACATTATCTAAAAAGCAGCAGATTGGGAAGACTGACACAGGAATTATTATTTTAAAGTTAGCAGGCACCTGTTCAAATAAATTTAGTTTTATCAGGAATCACATCATCCTCAATTCCACTAATTGTTGCAGAGGTGGGTTTCAGCAGGTTCTGACCAGTTCTGGAGAACCGGTAGCAGAAATTGTGAGTAGTTTGGAGAACCAGTAGTAAAAATTCTGATTGGCCCCGCCCACATCTATTCTTTGCCTCCCAAGTTCCAGCTGATTGGGAGGAAATGGAGATTTTGCAGTAACCTGGATTGGGGACAGAATGGAGATTTTACAGTATCCTTCCCCTGCCACACCCACCAAGCCATGCCCACCAAGCCATGCTATGTCCACCAAGCCACAGCCACAGAACCGGTAGTAAAAAAATTTAAAACCCACCACTGAATTGTTGGATGGATTTTTGGAGGACCTCTAGCCAGCTGCAGTTTTTCCTTCAGCTGGCTACTGTTTTATAAAGAAGCATCATTTGGCAAATCTATATAAGCTATTCTGGATATTCAGGGACACTGATAAGGAAAAAATGAATATTTGTGTGCAGGCTCTAAGGAAAAAATGTTCCCAAATATAGTCCTTTGATTTATTACTAAAATCCAAGTTGAACTTTGCTCTTTTGTTTCTGCTGTCATTTCCTGTTGTATGTGTAAATTACCTGTCTAATACTGAACAAAAGAACATGTCTGTCCCTGCACTTAGCAATTCTAATTACATCTGAAGGGGGGGGGGAAGAGAGAGAGAGAGAGGGAAAGCGCATTATACATGCAGAGGTAGCTTCCTTTCTTTAATTTCCCCTCCCAAACTTCCTTTCATAATAATGAAAAGGTAGGTAGAATTCAAGAGACAAAATACATGACATCGAAGAAGGCTGCTTCATGGCTGGCATAAAACAAACAGGTTGCTTCTGTAGTTAAAAAAAACACATTTATGCAGGCGTTTTAAATTGTTGCACTTCATGAATAATATTCAAGCATAATGTTATGAATGCATTTATAAAAAAACAAACAGCTACTTAACAACATGGCTGAAAATGCAAAGCAAGGAATGGGAAGCCACAGCTCCAGAGTTACAACACATCATGGTGAAATCACACTCAGTCTTTGGGCTGAAAAAGGCTGAGAAGCAAATAATGACTGAAAGCCTTTGTGTCTGAAACCAAGGAAAGCTATTGTCAAAAGGAGACAATATTGTTTGACCAGATGGGGTAATAGTCTGATAAGGGAATGGCACAGTAGTGGGTTGCTAGTGATTCACCTCGGATCAGGCAAACCAGTAGCGGCAGCAGCAGGAGACTCCGCCCAGACGCGTCTGTGCATGTGCAGAAATGTTGGGCGTGCACGCCCATGAGCAAACGGGTAGGCAACGGGTTTGAAACCCGCCCTTGGTATGGCACTTTCTTCTAGTTTGTATCAAAGGCCTGTGGCTCTCCAGGCCTTCTTGTATAACTTTCATCCTTTTTTTAAAGAGGGTAGACTGGCTATGGCTAACCAGGTTGACAAGCTCTAGCACAATGGCAAAATCCAAATTTTTTTACTACCGGTTCTGTGGGCCTGGCACAGAGGTAGATTTCAGCAGGTTCTGACCAGTTCTGGAGAACCAGTAGCGGAAATTTTGAGTAGTTTGGAGAACCGGTAGTAAAAATTCTGACTGGCCCCGCCCCATCTATTCTCTGCCTCCCAAGTCCCAGCAGATCAGGAGGAAATGGGGATTTTGCAGTAACCTTCCCCTGGAGTGGGGTGGGAATGGAGATTTTACAATATCCTTCCCCTGCCACGCCCACCAAGCCACACCCACAGAACCAGTAGTAAAAAAATGGCTTGGTGGGTCTGGCTTGGTCGGTGTGGCAGGGGAAGGATACTGCAAAATCTCCATTCCCACCCCACTCTGGGGCCAGTCAGAGGTGGTATTTGCCGGTTCTCCGAACTACTCAAAATTTCTGCTACCGGTTCTCTGAACTGCTCAAAATTTCCACTACTGGTTCTCCAGAACCTGTCAGAATCTGCTGGATTTCACCCCTGCTCTAGCATTTCAGAGCAAACTATCCCATCAATTTTGCCACTTTAAACTGTTCTCGTATGAAAATGTCCTCCTAGTTAATGAAATAATCTTTGTCTTTTATATCTGTTTTACTGAGTTATATGTATCAAAATGGAT